CAAGGGCATTTGAAGGCCACTTTTTTTGCTGGGTTCATGTGGGACAGGCAGCTTGGTGGGCATGTTTGTCTGTTTGAAGCCAACTTGTGTGTTTCTTGACAGGGTTGTGTGGTATGGGATGGGGGGGGGCTTGCTGCCAAATGTTGGCTTGGCTGACTCCATCAAGATAATATCAAAAGGCCCTTTATGAGGTGCTGTAAAGAAGAAAGGGTGTTTTGAGAGCACCACCAGACTGCAAGGGTAATTCAACTTTATAAAATGTGCCCTGAGGATACAGGCTTATCCCACCTGCTGCCTTTCCTGCTCTGCTCTGTTTGTATGCTTTCTTTGGGGGGGAGCTATAGAGGAAGAAGTGTGAAGTGTGTTAGTGCCATGTCACATTGTGTCACTCTCAAAGGTCCAGAGTTTTGTCTGTGGTGCTCCTAACGGCTGTAAAACACAAGACGTTCTACTCTACATATACATCTGGTCTTAGATCATATGTGTGTGTCATATATTTATACATCTCCGTTGTTCTCTGTGTTTCATGACTTTCTGCTGGTTCTGACAAAAAGGTGTAAAATCCTGGAGGGGTGTATGTCTGTTAATGTCTTCTTTCTCACTCTTCCTGGCCAGCTTGGTGTGTTTTTATCACTCTAACCTGAGCCACCTCCCCATCAGCAACCTAGTTTTAAGGCAGCATCGCAGGGGCTCTTTACAGGTGTGTGTGTGTGTGTGTGTGTGTATGTCCGTAGGAGCCCAGGTAATGAGCTTTCTGACAGTTGTTGAAAGCTTTTGCTACTGCTCAGCACCTTTAATGAAAGCACCCCCTCCTTGTCAACACACATGCACATTCCTTCCTCCCAGCCTCCTGGTTTTTGACTTCTCTACCATATAAACTATTTCTTTCTCAGTTGCAGGCAGGTTATGTTGTGAGTGCTTGTGTAACTCACACAACACAGACTTGATAGACCTCCTACTTGAAAGCTCACAGGTGACTCAAGTGTGTGCAACAGAACTTGAATAGAGCAGCAGCATTATTCCACCTCTGGGAAATGAGAGCACATTTAAGAAGGTATAGCAGTGAGGGACATAGAGAAATGGCTCCAAAAACAGTGACGAAGATCCTCTGGAAAGACTTGTACCAAAAAGAGGAAGGAAACAAGCCTGTTGTGTAGGAGACCTTGTAGCAGAAGCCTCAGAGGGATGGCAGGAAGATGTGGGCAGAGAATCAGAGAGAATGAGAGTGAAACATACTGGCATCACTGACAAGGGTGTGGTACTTTCTCTTCCTCTTTCATGAAGCCCGGTTCCTCATGGAAACCTTTCATTGTGTTGATGGTCACCCAGTAGCCTCTGCCATGGTGTAGAGGGCCAAGGACACCCTCGAAGGCCCCACCTAGCGTGCCAGCAAGTTTTCCAGCTCACTGTTCACCATCCTCATTCAATCTGCTCCCCTTCTGCCACTACTGTCTGCCCAGTACCCGCCTCTCTTTTCACAGTGAGCCCTACTGTGTGCCCCTCTCTCACATAACGCATCCAAGTCTCACAGACTCTTTCACTGCTCATTGCATTTGACAAGAAGACGCAAGCCTCACGGGCTGTTTAGAAATGGAGACAAAGATGCTGCGTGCCTGTGCTTGCAGTTTAATAGGAACAGAAAAAAAAAAACAGCACAATGAGTTGCACACACAGAGGAGGATATTTAATGGCGAACTCTAGAGCTCAATGGGCACTGTTATGAATAATCCAGTATTTCCAAATCAAACTGAGGCTGCAGCAGTGGACAGAGTCGCTGACCTGAGTCACACACACACAACTGACTTATACACTGAATGAACACTTACTGTACAAATATATCTGTGCCACTTGCACATGTACTGTAGGTGCACTGTCCTCACATAGAAGCAGTCTGCACATTGTGCTCTCACGTGCCAAGACTAGAATTTTGGAACAGCATCCCACTGAAGGTTCAATCACACCAACAAGTCATGTTGACAAAAGCTGCAGGCCCATTGTGAAAGAACGCTGTGCTTGTCACCCTACCAGAATGTCATATGCAGCTCAGTTAAAAGGAGTGTGTTGCAACACAAAACACAAGCTGCATAGTCATACCTTTGCTCACATACATTAGAAACACTCCCCTTTCCAGCTGATTGAACAGCTGGCAGCTTCAGTGTGTTACCAAAAGGTCCCTTGCTTTCCTATATTATCCCTATCCTGTTCTCTCCTTTTCTCTCACATTTTATCTGGTACACCAAAAGAGATGTCGATTGGCCCAGTTGACGTGACCTAGGATTTCATGTAATTGACCTAGTTGAAGTCAGCTTCAGCTAAACAGCTATTTCTGTCATGTGCAGTTACATTTCACAACTAATCAGGTTATGGAGAATGGTGCACTGCACATCCTACTGACGCTGAAGCACTTTAGGGTAATCTAGGAGGGGTGGATCATTGTGTGTGCTTGCTAGTTTTACCTAGTGAATGTTGTCCTCCTCTGTGGGTGTGTAGTTTGTAGCTGCTGAATAGTATCTCTGTGTGTATGTGACCAAGGGATTAGGCCTGATCAGTGCAGCTGGGCCACTTGTGCACAGAGAGCACCAAGAGAAGGGATTAGGGAGTAAACTCACACTTAGCAGGAAGCGAACAGTGGCAACTGATAACTCAACTATCCCTCCTTCTTGCCTGTCTCATCCTTTTCTCCTCCCCCAACAACAGCAGCCACCCACCTATCCCACTCTCCTCATCTCATCAGTCCATCATCGGCTCACAGGCCTCGGCTGGCAGATTGTGATGCAAATGGTGCCCCAGGCCTCAGAGCGCTGATAAGGTGGGCCTCTCATTTCACAGAGCTTTGTTTTCTAAACAGTGATGAGCTGAGTTGAGGAGACTGGGGGAAAGGGGGCTCAGAGTGGCTGCCTGAATGGGCCTTCTCACTGTGGCACCCTGGGGTAAGTGGTGGGGGGGATTTGGATGGAGCAGGCTGAATAAGGGAGGCGGGTACAGGAGTCATGTTCTCTGGCAGGAATCAGGTTCAACGTGTTGATGAAGCCTGATGTATTTTCTCTCTCACTGCTGCCCGAGGTTTCTCCAGGAAGGCCTTCCTGTCTTTGGCCTGCTTTCTTTCTCTATTTAGATGCTGCCAGTCATTACTTGACGCCACATATGGTTTGTCCTTTCCTAAGGGACTGTCTGCGCTCAGTCTGGAGCCTCATTTGCTGCTGTTATTATTGCATAAACACAGAGGTTCATGGCATGTTCAGAGGGTTTCTACTCCCCCATTGACCCTGCTGCTTTGTTACATTCTGGCAAAAGAGATTTCAGAAACATTCAGCGGGTATAAACCTCAGGTTTTAGATTGATTTGCACATTTGGATTTGAGATTGCTTTTAAAACTAATGGAAAACATCTTTCCCTCCAGCAAAGTAAAACTTTCAAAGGAGGAATTTGAATGTGGATTCTGAATCATCAAATATAAAAATCCATATGAAAAACAGATGTTTGAGCAGCAGGCAACAAATGAAAAATGTCTGCCATATTTCTGTTGCCATCATTAATGAGGTAGTAGCTGGCCGGTCACAGCAGCTGTAGTAATGGTCAGCTTGGTCTTGAACAGCGCTTTCCCTCAGAAGTAACCACGTCCTCTTCTCCCACTTTCCCCCTTAGCTCCTTTCTCTGTTTTTTTTTTCTTTAAATCAAATTCCTCTTTTTATGTCCCCCTTTTTCTTCTTTTTGAAGTCTCCCCTCTCTTGTAAAAAGCCAAGCTGGTGGGTTTTGCCTCAGCCTTGGGTGTGAGAGGCAGGAGGAGGGGAGGCTGTAGGTTAAGTTTAGGCACTCCCTCTCTGCTTTCCATTGAAGGTGCTGGGGGAGGCGGGGGCAGTAAAAGTTAGAATTTTAGAGCCTCTCTGTTTTTTTTTGTTTTTTTTACAGGCTGGAAACTACAGCTGGCGGATTGAATAGCTGCCCAAGGTGACTGAGTCCCAATAAAGCATAGGTCAGCGGGGCTGGGGCCTCCAGTCCAGCCATGGGACTGCCTTTATAGGCCACCTTACGAGCCTAGGCTTCCATTAAAACCTGGCAGGGCTGCACTGAGGAATTTAGGACCAAGAAACAAGAGAGAAATAGGGTTTGTGTTTTAGGAGAGTGGTGAGATGCAGAATTGGGGTGTTGAATTTTCAGGGTGACCAAGGGTGAAAGTTAAAAAAAGTACTCTTAGATAAAGGGGAAACATGAGTCTGTGCTTTTGTGCAGGCTAGTATGTGTGTTGAGAGTTTGGTCCTTTGTGTGTTCACACTTAAACTTCCAAAAGAGTGTATATGGGTTGCACTTTGGGATATAGTGAAGTGTAAAGCACCATCAGAAGTAAGTGACTAGAGATAGTGCTGATGTCACAGTTGTGTCCCAGTTTGAAAAGTAGGAGACTTTTATGCAACCTTTGCATGCATGTGTGATTGACATGTGTCTACACTGTACGTGCAAGATGTTGTCATGAGCTGTTGTTGTCTGTGGAATGAGAACGAGCCAGTTTTGACTCCCATTGTGTTACCTGTCCTTGTCAGAGAACCTGTCAGTCAATGGCTGTGTTGCTTACAGCTGTAAAAACTGTTTTGTCTTTGCTGTCACACAGTCATCCATCACATAAATAATAATCTCCCCAAATATACACCTGAATGCTGCCACTTAGGATGATAATTGGTGCCAGGAAATAAAAACTGATGCCGCCGTCCGCTATTCTTCCTTCTCAATCATATGTTATTTTATCCTATAGAAAGACATGCTTAAAAATATGTCCCAGTTCACCTCCGGGCCATGCATTTACCAACTCAGTATCTCTTACTTCACAAATCATGTGGAAAAGAAGCGGAAATGTCAGCTGTCACATCGTTGATTACATTTGACTGTCCACATCTGCTACATGTATTGGCATGTGCCCATGTGACATTTGCACATTGAACAGTAGCTGAAGGACAAAGATGTGTGATAAATCATATGGTCATGTGCTCTATCCTTTTTTTTCACAGCGGTGGAGACCCAGAGCACCAGCTCAGAGGAGATGGTACCCAATTCTCCATCTCCACCTCCCCCACCTCGTGTCTACAAGCCCTGCTTTGTGTGCCAGGACAAGTCCTCAGGGTACCACTATGGGGTCAGCTCCTGTGAGGGCTGCAAGGTGAGAAGAACCTGTGAGAGCCTTTCAGGCTCTGCTTTCGTCAGATTTAATCCATACATCCATAAAATATTTGGTTCAAGAGATAGTTAACTGCCTTTGCTTAAGCCTTGAAAACTTCTGCAATATGGGTAGAAATTTAAAATGTTAGTTTGTTTCACTTCTCTGTTCTGGATTCAAAGAGATACTAGAAGGCTAAGTATGAACGGGAAACTGTTAAATGTCATATCCTTGATTTGATGACTTGAATCTCTCTCTCTCAATCGCCCTCTACCCTTTTGTCTCTTGTTTTCTTATACTGCAGGGTTTCTTCCGCCGCAGTATCCAGAAGAACATGGTGTACACCTGCCACCGAGACAAGAACTGTCAGATTAACAAGGTCACACGCAACCGCTGCCAGTACTGCAGGCTGCAGAAGTGCTTTGAGGTCGGCATGTCCAAGGAAGGTGAGACCTCCAGGACTGGAGTCCCAAGAGATAGAAAGACCCACTTCCAAAACAAAGCTATTCACTCACTAACACACAGAAGTGAGTGTCTAGACACACACAGGGCTTCAGATTGTGCCCTCACGTTATTTCAGCCACAGATCAAGATGCAGTACAATACACCTAGGTGCCTTTGATACACTGGCAAACATGTTAATATTTTAATTCTACTTTGCTCAGATCTGATTGTTGTTTTAGCACTAAATAAAAGATTACATAGTGTGAACTCAATGATCTGTTAATGTTCACTTGAGAATGTGGGAAACTGTGCAGCAGAGAGACAGAAGCAGATGATGGGGTGGTGATCAGGGCGAGGCTGGGCACTGTACCAATCATATGACTAATTGTTTTGCAAAATGATTCTGACTTCCTCTTTCACCACCAAACCTCGCCCTTCTGGCCCTGCAGAGAAACTGTTTTCATTCATGAAGACAGCAGAGCAGAAAACAACTTTAAACAAGGCTAAAGGCAGCAGGACTCACACTGTTTGCCGAATCAAAGACAGTTTTCTCTGCAATGTGTGGGCAGCTGTGTCTAGGTGGCACTTGCTTGCCCCTCTGTAGAGCCCGTGGGACATGTATGTGGGTGTAATGTTTGTGTGGGATGTGTGTTAAAACCGGGATCACATTGTACCTCTGCTATTACTGGATATCCTGAGAGGAAGGAAAGTATGGGAGGAGGGTGGAGAGTGGAGGACTTGCTCATGTACACCGGTCAAGTGGATGGAGGGAAGTACAAGGAAGAGAGCAGATGATAAGAAAAAGATACCCAGTTTTCGTGACATGCTAAAGCAAATATGTTACTCTCAATAGCAACCTGAGCTGCTATTGAGTTCTGGTTTCCACTGCTTTCTAAGATGTCCTTGGCAGTGGTAAAAGATACTGAACACGAGCGCTACAGATGTTTTCACATGTGATCACACAGACACAGGAACGTTCTGTAGCTGATTTCTAAAACTGCACAAGGGAAGATTTTTGTACAAAGCAGTGAAAAATACCTCTACTAACCCCCTTGTTTTCTTGTTGTTCTTCACGTAGCGGTGCGTAATGACAGAAACAAGAAGAAGAAGGATGTGAAGGAGGAGGTGGTGCTTCCAGAAAGCTATGAGCTAAGTGGAGAGCTAGAGGAGTTGGTCAATAAAGTTAGTAAAGCTCACCAAGAAACCTTCCCGTCACTTTGCCAGTTGGGCAAATACACCACCGTAAGTCTCTCTCTCTCTCTCTCTCTCACACACACACACAAACTTGCAATGCTGGTCACTCATACCGTGTGTGGCAACATTCTCCATGCTGTGCTGTCACAGAGGGTTCCTAAATTGCATGCAAAATACGTAAAATCAGCGTAGCTTTCCGGACATAGTGGTGACTTAACCTGTTCAGTTCCCCATTAAGGTGTCCGTGTGGCTTCTGAATAACCGATGCAACATGTAAATGGAATTTTTTTCTTTATTGTTGTAAAGTGGAAATGTGTTGTGTAACTCGGACAAACATGCATGATGCAAACAGGGTTGTGCACCACCTCTATTACATCATGCTGAACTGTGGGTGTTTTTATGTTTGTTCAGAATTCCAGCTCTGACCATCGTGTCCAGCTGGATCTGGGACTGTGGGACAAGTTCAGTGAGCTCTCCACCAAATGCATCATCAAGATTGTGGAATTTGCCAAGCGGCTGCCGGGTTTCACCACCCTCACCATTGCTGACCAGATCACTCTCCTTAAATCGGCCTGTCTGGACATACTGGTGAGGAACCATTGTATTTATTGTTTCCCTTCTGTCCTCTTCACTTAACTGATAAATTGATGACTGGAAGAAAAAGCAGCTCAATCTGAGATGAGGGAATATTGGCATCTGCTGGTGAAAAGTGTTAGTGCAGGAAGCTTAGCCCAAATAACAAAGAGTAGGCTTGGTGTTAGTTAAACACAAATAGCCTGATGAGCTGATGCCTATCTGTACAGCTACTGCAGATATTTTTGTGCTGTAGAAAAGGTGTTAACAGCCTCATATCATATTTTGCTCATGCTTACGAAGTTTCCCTCCTTTTTTTGCTCACAAGATACTGAGGATCTGTACACGCTACACGCCAGAACAGGACACTATGACCTTCTCAGATGGCCTGACTCTGAATCGGACTCAGATGCACAATGCTGGCTTTGGACCGCTCACAGACCTGGTGTTTGCCTTTGCAGGCCAGCTTCTACCACTGGGGATGGACGATACAGAAACAGGCCTCCTCAGCGCCATCTGCCTCATCTGTGGAGGTACTGCAATGTGCACAAACTGTGTAGTAAATCTGTATTTTTATCAATTATGTCAGTGTTTTGATAAGATTAGTAATGCAAAGAAAAATCACTAAATATTTTCGTATGTAAATTTATTTCAAACAATAATGAAACATTTTGCAATTCTTTAACTCATTCCCTACAATTTAGGTAAATAATATAATAAATTGTGTGCTGTCTGCATTCCTCTTCAGACCGTATGGATCTAGAAGAGCCCCAAAAAGTAGATAAGCTGCAAGAGCCTCTGCTTGAGGCTCTTAAGATCTACGCCCGCCGCCGCCGCCCCAACAAACCCCACATGTTCCCTCGTATGTTGATGAAGATCACTGACCTCAGGGGCATCAGCACCAAGGGTCAGTATGAAGAGAATAATTCTAATAGAAGCCTGATTATGAAAAGGCCTGGCTGCTTTCATAGCCACGTTATAACACACAGGGCTTTTCCCACAAACATACAAAATAAGACCCTGAACCTCCACTAGTTTTAGTCTTCTGGCGTTTCATTTGTGCTCTCTATGAGGCAGGGAAGCAGTTTTTAAACATGACATTCGTGACATACTAATTATCTACTGTAACTATGTTTTCTTTTTCCAGGTGCAGAGAGAGCCATCACTTTGAAGATGGAGATTCCAGGGCCAATGCCTCCTTTGATCAGGGAGATGCTTGAGAATCCAGAGGCCTTCGATGACCAAACAGAATGCAACGAGAGCCTGCCGCCTCCACCGCCGCCGCCACCTCCACCTCCAGCCCTGGTGCTAAAGCAGGAGGCCGAGGATGAGGATGACAGCTGGGCTACAGAAAACGGCAGCGAGCCGTCGCCAGAGGAGGAAGACGAGGATGACGATGACGATGTGGGAGATGAAGAGCGAGACAGGGGCTCAGACAGCGATGGGGAGCCGTGGGAGGGTTTGGATGCCATAGATGGGTCGAGGAAAGGCCTTGCTGGGAGGGTGCAGTGAAGACAGCATTTCATACATATAGTACACACACACACACACACACACACACACACACACACACAAAGCACATCCTCACTCACTCTCCCACCTCAACAGAATGCTGGCCTTCCTTTCCTCTCTCTCTCTCCTTACTGCACATCAGTGTGTCCTCTACAGCGGAGCACAGCAGAGCCTTATCTGTACAGACACTTTGAACTCAGGCCACATGGTCCATGACAAGTGAACTACAGGAAATAAAGGAGAGATGACATAAATCATAAGAACTCCTGGCACAGCTGAGAGGGAAGTCAATGTGACAAAAAGAACATAAACCTCTTTGAGAAAGCTACATGTTTCTTCTTTCTACTCTTGTTGTTTATATCTAAATACGCAAACAGCAAAACCAGACACCAGAACTGAGCAGTCGATTCTGATGGATTACACCAAGCACATTTCTCAAAAGAAAACAAGAGTACAGGGCAAAACCAAATTCTTTTTGCGGTTATTTGCTTTTGAATATTGTTTTGAATTTTTCTCTTCTTTTTTCCAATTTATGAGTAAGTCAATACATATCTATATACCATTATATTTTTGTCTTTATTTGTTAATCGGGTTTTATATATGAAACTTTTAGACAGGTTTTCTCTTTGAGCTTTCCTGAGGAAATATTCAGAAGGAAAGAAGGGTAATCAGAACTGGCTAGGTCTTCCTTATCAGCTACATATGCTTAGCTGGGGCTTTTTTGGGCACTTTGCCTCATTTTGGATTTCAGTGATAATCAGCCCAGAGGACTATTGTTGTGTTGCAGTGACTTAGTTTGTGTTATCAGGGAATTGGCATTATTCTGTGTTGCAGCCAACATTCGCTGTTAGTGTGGAAAGCAAGTATCTTTGTGCCAAAGTTAGGAAAGGTCATCTTTGGAGCATGAGTTTGACTAATGGCAGGGACTCCAGGTATAATCTAGTTATCCTCACAGCAGAGCGCTCACTCACACATACACTAACACCAACATCTCATGCGCACAATATATACACAGATGCATACAAAGACACATACACACACCCTCTTACACTCTACCCTCAGCTGAAGCAGATGTGCCAACCTGGTATCGAGTGCCCACTCCGAAAGTTCACTCGGCCATATATGTAGCATTTTTGTGATCCTCTATACAAGTAATGCACATCTCGTCCACTGAGCGTAGAGTTACTGTCTGTGAGCTTATATCTGCATTAGCATGCCCAAACTCATGCTAGCACCAACGTATTGAATACAATCAACCTTCGAGCACTCCCTGATGATGTCATCAGACAAATACACACATTCACACAGACAAAAAGATCCACACATCATTACACATCAACACAACGATCAAAGACATATGCAAGTCAAAAGCAGGATTTTTTTATGGAAGACATTTTGGAATCAGACTCAGGGCTTTTCAGTAAGGACCAAACGCTAGCTGCTTTCAGGCATGCTAGAAACAGGCAATATTTGTTTGTGTGTGTGTTCTTGACTCCATTTTGATCAACCCCTCTGTGTGTAAATAGAAGGTGACAAGTCTGAAAAACACCATGGATGCTAGTTCGTCTCTCTCAATGTCACTACTGGATGGCCTGTGCTTGCACTGGCATCCATGCAGAAAACTGCCTTCTCATCCCAAAAGCCATTATATCATCTTGTCTTCTTGTGTGTACCTTCACTTCTCTTCAAAGGAGGGGTGACGGATTATGTGTTCTCATGTATCGTTTCTTTATTGCCAAAATGTCTGAGTAGGTGATTGGCTGGGAGAACGCAGCTGATATACATTACAGAGGGTTTTTTTTCTGTTTCTCTTTCAAGCAATATGAACATTCTTTCTGTAGCAGTGAGAAGTCCCATCTTATGATCTCATTTAGAACTGCGTGTGTGCGTGTGCATGTCTATGTGAATGCTTTAACATGTTTTCAGTCATTGGGTGAATGTGCATTTTATGGTGCTGTCACACAAAATCTCTTGTGTGATGACCTCATCTGTTCTCTCTCTCTGCTGGGCTGTCATAATGTTAATGATGGTAATGTAGGCAGAACATGGAGAACATGTTTCTGTTTTCAGCATGGCTAAGGTGTTGTCTACCCTCTGTTTATGTCAACTCTTGTCATACAAAGAAAAGCCATATAAACAATAAGAGGCACAATAAACTAATTTCATGAGATTCCTGAACTTTTTTTCATTGTGCAAAAATGTCTTGTGTGATCAGAAGTTTCACTGAATGAAAAGGTTTGCCGTGCATTACCAGTATGCAACAGTAGAGGGAGCTCTTGCACCATGACTGCAGGGTACATTGCATGCAGCACTGTTCATCCTGCATGCAGTATGGGAGATGGGTGTGTTCGGCTATGGAGAGCAGTGGGTGCAGAGGATAATAAATCACAGCCTTCTGCTGAACAAGGACATCAGATAAAGGCCTGGGTCTAAGATCCTTTCATTCTGCAGTTGGTAGCACAACACATCAAAGTTACTCTTTCCTGTAGTTTTGCTTCACAGATGGAGTGCTCTAGAATTTTAAAAAGTTAATCTGTCTCTTACTGATTGTATTTTTTTTAAAGGTGGACAACATGTAAAAGAAAAACAGTGTACAGGAAACATGTACACTCCAACATGGAACATATCATAGATGTATTTCATTGTGCATTTAATATTTTTTTGGTTTTGGTCAAACAAAACAATACAGTTGGAGACATAGCTTTTGACTCTGCGAAGTTGTGATGGGCTTTTTTCCACATTTTTTATGTTTTGCAGATGAAAATAAATATTAGTTGTCCAAAATATTAGTCATGTCCATATTAAGAGTTATGCCCGGGAAAATGAAAGTGAGGCTTCCAGCCACACAGTCAGGTCCAGCATGGTTTCAGATTTTATTGGACTTATGTGATATTTGATCTGGTACAAGAGAGCATCTTGGATCCAAAACTGAGTCTGCTTTGGTAATGGCCTGTGAAATGTTTTCAAACTAACAGCTATGCAAACCACATTGGAAACAATCAAATTAATAAAACACATGAGTAAAAAACAAAACAAAACAAAACAAAAAAAAGAGTAATACATTTATCACCCATTTTTAACCCCTATCTTTGGTACATCACTCTGCCTGATGTGATCACCTTCTCTTGATATCCTGATAAAGAAAAAGATTCCTCCTAGTAAAGAGCTACTGATGGTAAACATTTCTTTTTTAAGTGTGAGGGCTACTAATGCCTCACCCCGAGTTTATTAATAGAAAGACAGCAAATCAGAGGAGGGTGATAAACAGAGATCAGATTCTATCAATTATATGATTGGTTTAATTAACTATCATTAAAGACAGATCAATAATGCCAGACTGGAATTAAAATAAAGCCCATACATTATACACTATTTTACAAGGAACAATCAAATGGGCCCATATACTGAGCCCCTGGAAGGTGTTGCCATGGGAACCCATGGGAGGGTTTGGGTGTGCTTGAGGGAATTTATAGGAGCCGAGTGTGGTTCCTATATACTCATCCTTTCACCTCAGTGAAACTGCATTATCTATTACTTGAGGTAGGAAGACTTCACTGGAAACTAAAAAGAAGGGTGTTTAATTGTGGATGTGTAGAGAAAGGTCCTTGGGAAAAATGTATAACTGTACAATGAATTAATAAAAGATAAAAATCTCCTTTGTAATATTCTTGCAGCCACAAGACATTAATTATTCACAAAAATAGTAAAGTAAAAACATCATAAAAGTAGGTTATGGCTGCAGCATATCAAAGAAATTTATTTGAATTTTAAAACCCAGAGAGAGACCATACAGTGCATCCACTCAGTTTGCCCTGAACATGAACAAACTGCAGTGGTACTTCTGACAACAGCGAGATAATGGAGCAGCAGACGCTGCAGCTCCTCAGAGAGTGATCGGGAGGATAAAACCCAGTGAACCCAAGTGCTCCTGGCAGCAGTTAGGGAAGAAGGACTCAGCGTGATAAAGACAGAGATGCATGGAGCTGGGAGCACGATCATAATGTGATATTCCACATCATGTAGTGTGGCTCCTGCTTGGGTTAGAAGACACAAAAAGGACATGTTTGTCATTTGTTACATATGCAGTGAATCCACTGAGGGTTGGGAATCAGTCAAGGGAAGGCGTGAGGGGAAGGTGAGAAGCATTTTTCAAGTGCAAAGACCATAAATTTAACACCACCTGTACACACAGAGAAAGAAAGATGTGATGAAGAAATGGTAAAGCTATGTGTGACAAGAGTCAGAATGGAGGGTGTGCCGGCAGGAAGGCAGAGGAAATAAACAAGGCCAGGTAGAGGAAGGGGTGATTTGGGGGAAGGGGAGCGGGGGCTGGGGAAGGCAGACGTTGGGATCATAAAAACTAGGAGATGTGTTCTGGCCTCTGGGTCTTCATATCTTTTACATTTCTAATTAAAAGAGATAAAGAGTGGGGGAGTCATCAATCCCACAGTGATTTCCCAGTTAAGGTTTTAGAGGGGATTGTAAACTAGGCAGCCCGGCATCATTGATTTTATAATTAGCTATTGTCACTCCAGACTTAAGATGGAGGGAGTGTGGTAGAAGGGCTGGAGGAATGCTTAAAAGAGGAAGCAGGAGACTGCCAGAGGAATGGGGAGGCACAACGATAAACATGAGGATGGTGAGAGATCCAAAGGTGAGTAGAGAAAAACTTCAGAATGAGAAATGTACGTGAAACAGGCAACAAGCCAAAAGGGAATACAGGTTATTTAGCTCTGTGAAAGAAACTGCATGGTTAATTACCAGTGAAATGTCATGTAAGCATCAAAATACTGCTGTGATCTTTGGCTAGAAAAAGACACATAGGACCCAATTATAGATACATAAACCATTTTATTATATAGAACCCCACCCAAAGCCTGTTACATGAGCGATAAGAAAATACATGGCTGTGTACATGTGGGATAAACTTCACACACAAACTTCATAACAAACCGTAACGACTGGAGCTTCATGATGTGAGACAGGAGCACTCACACTGGAGCTCTCAGTGGAACAAGAAAAAAGACAACTTCTCTCAAAGTCAGAGCGCAACCACAAACAAAGACGATGGTGAATACATGTAGTGCGCTATTCTCTATAGGAAGAATACCAAACCTCTCCAAACACTCTATGGAGAATCGACATGTACTGTGATACCAGACACAACCTAGTGACACAAGGTGAACGGGAGGTTGGACAGACGTTTACTCTGTTCATGACCACTTGAATCATTTCTCACCTGCTGGTATCTTTCCCTTTCATTAGGACTGATATGTTGTAACAGTACAACTCAAATATTTAACCTTAATAGACTCAAAAGTTTTTAAAGCAGGTTATAAAAACAAAGTGTAGATAAAATACACATAAACACAACAAACAATGGGAATGATTAAGAGAACCAACAGACTGTTTAGTATCCATACATCAACCTTTTGTCTAAAAACTCTTCTACAGTAAAAAACTGGGTGCAAATATAGCAGAAAAAAACTCAAGCATCTAGCAAATGTTCTTAGCCAGGCATGAAGGACATGGTCACACGCTTGTGTGAAATCCAAACACTTAATTCAAACTAAGCCTGAATAGTTTCCTTGCAACATGACCCAAGTTAAATTGAAAATCATGAAAAATGCATAGAGTATTGATTAAAAGGAAGGCAAAAAATGTTTATTAGGTAATTTCCTGCCATAGGGCTCGGGGAAAATATCAAGTCATGATGGCAGGATCTATAAAGAAGTTTGTCTTTGATTCTTATTTCATTATGTTAGGCACAAATCTAAAAATGCGTGAGTGTGAATTAAAATTTCTGTACAATATAAACTGTAATCCAGATTGACACTAAAAATTCTAATGACCAGATAGTAAACTAGCATTTGATTTTAATCATTATTAAATGTAAAATACAAGGTTCTTCATTAACAAGTAAAACCTGCCTGATCTACAGTAAAAAGCTTATGAGCACGCTCATGATAATGGTGATATGAAGTTAATGAAATAGAAAGTTGCATCTGGCATCTATTGTCATAGACTTTAAACGCAAGCTGTTCAATAAGCTCTTTATTTTAAATACTTGTCCACCTTAGAAAACCTCTGCATCTCCTTAACTGACAACCATGGACTACTAAAAGAAAGTGCATGTCACACTTTAGTTCTGAGTAAGCACAGGTGAATTATGATGTCATAGCCCTACATTACTGCAATATAATTCGAGTATGATGCTGTATCATTACTTTACGCTGTCATGAAAAGTGTTCAAAGCTGTTGTGGAAAATTTAATGCTGAAGAGAGTTTTGCTATGATTTCCAGCGGAGCTGGGCCTGCACACATCATCATAATTACAGTGCCTGTCATGACTTCTAATCACAAATGTCATAAAAACGACATAACATCCGTCGTAAAGCTCTCGACACAGCAATGATTCAACAGAAATCATTCTGCTACATCCTGCAAACTCTCAAACGCCACAGTCCAGGCCTAAAAGCCCACTGCTACAAACTGTGCTACAATCTTATGTCAGTCATAAACATGGTGTTGACCCTCCACCACAAGCATTATGTCATTTCTAACAACAAACCAATTGGGCAAATAACACGACAATCTAGAACAATCAAGGTCCACTGCAGATATAAATTGCATATTAACATTTTGTCTTTGTAGTGAGTGCTGTTAGTGGAAGAAGCGTGGAACCACACTAACTCCAGGAAAGTGCCTCTTCTCCTCCTTTTGATCCCGTTGTGGCCGTGGCAAGATGTCCACTGGTTACCATAGCGAGGTGTCGGCCAGATCACTGGAGGAAGGAGTGTGTGAAAGACATGAAAGAAACAAACGTTCTAGTTCGACTGAAGGAGCGTGTGAGTGGGAGAGTGAGGTTTTCAATGATGCTGAAAACTGGCCCGTGACTGTGCTACACCCTTCAGGTAAATCACTGCTACAGCTTATTATCAACCTGTGTCCCCTTGTCCTCCCATCTCGCCCTGCCCCCGGCCCGGCTCTGTTTCAACACCCGTTGAAAGTCATGAGCTCATAAAACCTCAAGTCATGAGCTCATAAAACATGACACATTATAGAGTTTAAAACAAGTCAGTGTGACAGGAAGAAATTTGTGTACATTCATATTATTTCTGCCTTTACAAGCACTTACGTTCTTAAGTAAATGTATCAATACAACAATGTGTGTGTATATATATATATATATATATATATATATATATATTATATTCAATGTTCTGCCAAAAAATGCCCCTTGATACTGATATATTATTATACATGACAAATTATATTGTTAATACTGATGCATCAATGTGCTGAAGGTAGAGCTAGTGTTAGATGGCTCAGTCCAATGGGCTCCAACCCTCTAAAGGGTCACAAGATTAATGTGCGGGTTTGTGAGATGGATTAATGGGCTAGAAAGAAAAAAATTATTTTGCTTATGTTCTGCTTAACAAACGTATATTTATATTTATTTTTATCTTAGCTTTTTCTGAACTGAATATTGGTTGACTTTACCTTTTGGGCCTTAAAATTTTTAGAGGGGAAGTCAATGTTTGATAGAACAGTTCACTTATACACATCTGACACATCATAAGGAAACCCAACTGGACTTTAGTTTTTTTGCAAGTGGTCACAGCCAAATAAGGTTTGAACCACGTATTCAATCCTAATGTATTGTACTTTATAAAACATATAACATTTGCTATAAATGTAGTGGAGCAGAAACATTATGTAGCATACAATGGAAAAACTGTGTAAAATACAAGTACCTCAAAACGGTTTATAAGCATTGTACTCCAGATATGAAGCTACTTTCTACCACTAAGGGAAAAAAACACTCCTCGGTTTGAGGTGGGAGGTTGTACCTGAGAATGTTGTCTCTGTGCTCAGGCAGCAAAAGTGCTGTTTCCTCTCCAGAGCTGTGCCTTCCTTCCTGAAGTGCATCAGATTCTTCCTCCTAAACACCGGGTGTGAAAGACGTTTTATCTGTCCAGCAGCTAATACAGTCTAATAACTTGTAGACCAGGGTCCTAATTGCTTCTAGGAGATAGTGTCTATATCAAACGATCCACTGCCCATGTTTATGTGGTGTATATATGGCTATCAGCATGAAGATATAGCTCATTTTCAGTATCACACATAATTACACCATGGTGATGCCAAATGGTTCAGATCATGCGTCTCACCGAATCAGAGCTGTGTGGCAGGGTGTCAACTCTGGCCTGGTGTGGTGAGGAGAAAGGGGCTGGTTGGTTGATGACCACAGCCCTCGACTCCATCTCCCTGGGGGAGGACGGAGGAGTGGCAAGGAGCAAGGAGTCAGGCTGGCCCTGCTCACATAGGCTGTAATGCCCCAGAGGTCTGGGGGGACGGAGGGGCTGCAAGGCCTCTGGGTTCTCATCCTCAGAGTCAGATAACCCACTCTCAGGGCGCCCTGCTAGAGATAGTAACATTAGCAAAGAGAGGGGCCATTTCGAACAATATTTAGCATGGCTGTTGAATGATTTTATTGTTCACATCTGCAGGGCACACAGTAGATTAATGTATAGCTTCATTCACCTGTGGTGGCAATTGGGGCAGCACTCCACTTGGCACTGACCACAGTTCCAATCCTCTGCTCCAGCTGACAGATATACTCCATCAACTCCTGTAATGGAAAATACAGCCATACTGCAGGATTTTCATCATAACTCCAGCAGACCTCACCCTCATAACCCTCATGAAACCTGACTTCATCAGTCCAAATGCACGTAAAATAATTATGTGGTAAATACACAAACATAACATTGGCAGCTATAGTCCCATATGGCAGATGTTAAAATTAAGCTGGACACTGATATTAAAAACAATGACCATCAACTCAGCCAGTAGCAGCAAATGTGATGGTGGTTAGCCAACAAAATATCTGGAGGCACTTTAACAGCAGCTGCAATGATTTATATTGCACTATGAAGAATTTGTATTGCACAATAACAAATAAAAAGACAAAAATAGAAAGAAGATTCCCAACACCTGGGAAACACTAAACAATCACACTATACTGTATGTTACATCACTAAGCTTTAGGATATGTATATATTGTTAATACTGTGCTTAAAAAATAATTATTGAGGTTGATAGTGGTACAAACTGTAAGAAAACTTGCACTAAATTTACAGTTGATAATGAGTGAAGTCCTGCAGGTTCCTGCTGTTAGGATAATAGACCTGTAGCATTCATGGAGTTTGTTTATTTTATTTTAGTAGTAGTAGATGGGGGCTGTTCTGATCCACACTCCAGTTCTAGCTGGTGGTAATGCACCTAAAGTTGTTTTCCAACCACCATTAAACAGCCAAAGAAGAAGAAGACGACGGTTCCTGCTGTTTCTTGGTTCTGCCGCAATTAAATTCATTTCCTGTTTGCTGTGCCTGCTCCAGATTGTTTACAGATTAAGATTTCTAGGTATATCGGAACGTCAGCTAATTTTTGATTCACCACATACACTTACACTACTTACGCACCTCTATTACAGAATTTCTTACTGAATTTCTTTCTGAGTCTCTCACGCCAAAACTGGAAAACTCAAAAGCCAGTTCTGTTTGTTATTGTATACCGTCCACCTGCCCCCTTATTCAGAGTTTTTAAGAGTTCTTAGACTTTGTCAGATTTAATGATTAGTACAAATAAAAACATCATATTGGGTGACTTTAATATTCATGTAGATGCTGACAATGACAACCTCAACAGTCTATTCTGTTCATTATTAGACTGAAACTATAAATAAACCCACTCACTGTTTTAACCACACCCTTGATTGTGTTCTGATGTACAGCATCAAAACTGAACATTTCATAGTTTTTCCCCAAAACTCTCTTCTGTCTGTCTGACCATTTTCTAATAAGCTTTGAACTTACATTAATGTATTATACACTATGTGGGGAAACAATTCCACTACAGTAGATGTCTGACAATGCTTTTACCAAATTTAAGGACATAATTCCATCATTATTTACTTCAGTGCCGTGGGCCAACACAATGGAGGGAGGCCACCTTAACTTTACTCCCACACAAGTCGATAATCTTGTTGATAGTACTGCAGCCTTCCTGCGTACGACACTTGACACCATTGTCCCTCTGAAAAGGAAGGCAGTGAAACAGAGGAGGCTAGCCCCGTGGTACAGCTCACAGCTCTGCTCCCTAAAGCAGGCATCACGAAAACTGGAGAGGAGGTGGCGGTCCACTAAGTCAGAAGAGTTTTTCCTAGCTTGGAAAGACAGTTTAATAACATATTTAAAAAAAAGCCCTTCATAGTGCCAGAACTGCATATTATTCATCACTGATAGGCAAAAATAAGAAAAACCCAAGTCTCTAGAACTGCTTTCTTTCACCTGCGCAATATCACCAAAATCAGGAGCATCCTGTCTCAAAGTGATGCTGAAAAACTGGTCCATGCATTTGTTACTTCCAGGCTGGACTACTGTAACTCTTTACTATCAGGATGTCCCAATAATTCCCTAAAATGTCTCCATTTGATCCAAAATTCTGCAGCCAGAGTACTGACAGGAACTAGCAAGAGAGATCATATCTCTCCCATATTACAGTGCCTTGCGAAAGTATTCGGCCCCCTTGAACTTTGCGACCTTTTGCCACATTTCAGGCTTCAAACATAAAGATATAAAACTGTAATTTTTTGTGAAGAATCAACAACAAGTGGGACACAATCATGAAGTGGAACGAAATTTATTGGATATTTCAAACGTTTTTAACAAATAAAAAACTGAAAAATTGGCCGTGCAAAATTATTCAGCCCCTTCAGGCAAGATATCTCACAGCCTGATTTCCAACGGGGAGAAAAATAAAAAAGGAAATGGGAATTTTGAGGAGACAATCTGTCAAGAAACAGCAGAAATTTCATTTATAAACCTGTGAATTCCTACATCTCTTATTGGTATCAAATTCTGTAATCACAGCATTCATTCATTGTTAAAAATGAGTATATATTTCAATTATCTCTACCTGTGAGAAAATGAACAGACCAGCCCAGCATTTCAAACACAGATAATGAGACTTGTGTTTTTCTTACCCTTACTGTTTTTTGGATCCAATTTGGAACGTCGAGAGTGCGCAGTCCACACATTAACTTTTATTTAGAAATCTCCAATGTCTGCGGAGTTTATGTGTAAAAAAGGTCCCGCTCACCTCATCTTGTGGCCGGCCAGTTAATGTGTGGAAGTGCTCACCGCTCTGACTAAACCCAGAAGGGCACTCTCTGATCAGGGAAATATTCAACTCATACCAGATCTCCAGCTCAGCTCAGCCTGGCACAGGATTACCACTGTCGGTCCGGGACATTATTCAGGAAATGGACCGGTCGTCCTGCAGAGCTCATCTGGTCCCCGGGTCCAACGGCACCACTTAAAGGCTAAAAACCATTATAAAGCCTCATCCGGTTCTTTCAAACCAGGAACTCAGAGGGACGACTCAGACCACTTGAGTATATAAAAAATATAACCGTGCTGGTTTATTCAAAGAGTCACAGGCAAGCATCAACACTCCAAGTCCAGAGATCTTCCAACCCCAGGCTGCCCAAGCAGCCCGGAAGCAGCAAGACCCCGAACCAAGCATTGCTATACAATATTAATCCTTTCTGGGCTGTCGAACCGTGACGTCACCTGATAAGCAAGCCTTGCAGCTGCCATAACGTTTAGCCAAAACATGCGGAAAAGTCAAGGTGCGTGACTGTTGTTTTCGTGGTGTGTATCTAAACAATTGGACATAACCTTACACATTAAGACAAATATTAAGACTAGCATTACAGTTGACACTAACAGCAGTTTTCCTGTAACCTTGACGTGCCTGCAGGCTGAATAGTTAACAGCCCAAGCTAGTCACCCTGTCTGCGCTAAACATTCATAGACAACAGATCTCTAATCCATACCTATCTAACTAAGAAATAACCTAACTCTCTACCTTTAACACTTTCCCTTTTTGATAAAGCTTATAGTTAGGGCTGGCTCAGGTGACCCTGAGGTGACCCTGAGGGAGTTTTTCCTCCGCGCTGTCGCCAAGTGCTTGCTCAAGGGGGATTTGTTTGGGCTTTCTCTATAATAATAATAATAATAATAATAGTAAGGCCTAGACCTTACTTTATGAAGTGGCCTGAGATGGCTTTTGTTATGATCTGAAGCAATACAAATAAAACTGAATTGAATTGCTAGTACTAACTATGATAAAACTTGAAATTTATTAATCCATGTCAGACGTACAAGTCCTTCGTTAGCCTTGGGACATTATCAACTGATAATGAACAGGGCTCAAAGTCAGCAACTATGACATCATTCATGTACAGAGTTTAAAGATACTAAATCATAGCATTATTGTTTTCTCCCTTTTTCAACAAACTTTCTGCCAGCACAGACTCAAGTTGTCCCCTGTGAACCAAACAGTGTTTCTGACCTGCTTCTCTGCAAGTAGCAGCTCCTTCTCTTTCTGGGCGACCCTTAGGCTAGCCTTGAGCTCCTGAAGCTCCCTGCGAGTTTCACTCAGCTGAACCTGCAGGCCAGATATAAGTTGCCAGGAAACAGCATATTAGAACAATATAACAAGTACTGTCACTTCTGCAAGACAACTGTGATGTGTACTCTCACAATTCTACCACCAATTTGTTATGACATCTATCTCTTGTTTCCAGTGGGACTGAGTTCACCTATTATTAGACAAAAGTATCTAAGTTGGAAGTAAAATGCTGTAGTCTCTCACCCGGTGGCAGTCCTTCTCTCGTCCAAGCTCAACCTCCAGCTTCACTCTCTCCATCCTCTCCTCCTGCAGCCTCTCCTCCATCCTCTGCATCTCCGTATTGAGTTTCTCTAGATGCTTACGGTCCCTCTGTTAGGGTGACACACACACACATATCATGTGCAAAAACAACTTCATAGGTACAATAAGATAAGCAATGTATGCTGCTCAGGAGAACACTTCACCTTGAAGCCATAAGATGGTGTTTTGAAACATCATGCCATGTATCGTGACTCGGTTATCGGAACAGTAACAAGACGCATGGCTAATACTGTATATTCAAAACTTTAACTCTATCCCAGCACAATTATATTAAATTGCCTAAATGTCTCCCTTCAGATTCTCTGTTCTGCAGCGCTGCAGTACCTCAGAAGTGCACTGCAGGTTCTGCCGTTCCTGAGCCCACTGCGCTCTTCCTTCTCTGAGGGCCAGACTGGAATCTGCAAGCTGAAGTGTGAGTTGAGCAGCCTGCAGACGAGCCTGATGCAATTCGGCCTGCCCGTGATCCCTCTGGGCCACCATGGCACCTAGATCACTCTTCAAGCACTCTGCAGCATGCTCACTCGCGTTAAGACGCTCCTGCAGGCTCCTCATCTCCTTCAGTGCTGCCTCGCTCTCCGCCTGGCCATAAATAAAACAGAAAGCAGGTGTTGGCTTACATATCTGTAAGTACAAGCCAGTTCTGAAAGGTACTAAGTGTAAATTTGAAATACCAAAGTTATACTTAAGTTCTAACAAAGTTTTAGGATATACTGACATATAATTCTTATTTAAAGCTATGCGTATGTATAATCAACATCCATCTCCAGAACTTAAAACCATGTGTTTGCCCCAAAAACATTTCTCCCAAATATAAAATGTGCTGAAAAAAAAAAATCTTCTGAAAATCTGCTAAGTATTATTTGGTAAACAAAAGTGTGCTGATATTTACAGTATATCACACATTTGAAGCCTCTAGCATGCATCTTTGCCTAGTCTTGTTTTAACTTTGAATCCATATATTAATCTCAAATCCTCCTTTCAATCCCGTCCCCTCTGATTTCCAAAGAAACATCTGACCTCTTTCCTGTGGGCAGTGGCCAGTTTCTGGGTGAGGGTGGTGATGGTGTTTTGGAGCTGTAGGACACTGGTGTCTCTCTGAGCTAGGGAGTTCCTCAGACCCTGAAACTCCTTAGACAGGCTTCTGAGTTCACTCTCTGTCTGTTCCAGCTTGGTCTAAGAAAGAAAAATTAACAAGACAAATGGCAAAAGAGAAATTGATGTAGAAAAAAATGAACAGACAGATTTGATTATGATATACAGCATATTCTGAAATGTAACCTGCAGGCTTTTCCTCTCACTCTCTTCTTCTTTCCTCTGAGCTCCAGCCCTCTTTGCTCTTTCCTTCATCCTGCACACACAGATTTGGTTACTGACTATCAAAAGTATTCATGAGTCCAGTGTAAATCTAAGACTAGGGGCAGAGACAAAGAGGGGGAAAAAATGTCTGACCTTTCCAGCTCGGCCTCCCTTTCCACAGTTCTTTGAGTCAAGGTTTTGATGTCCTCCTCCAACTCTCTGATTCGCACTTCACTCACCTCCCTCGCTTCCAATAAAGCACATTTCTCCTGGGCTAGTAAGTTTCCTAAAGCCTGCTCCTCCTAATAGACCAGAGGCATGTGGAATTTTTATAGGGTATTGTAATTCATAATGACATATAATAAGCTACTTTAATAGTAAGATATTTAATAGAATAAATCTGACATACTCCTAAAGCGCTGTTATTTAACTTTTTACATTGATACTTGAAGCTGACATGTGCTTTTCACTGAAGGATATGGATACAGACAAAGAAATGGAAATGGTAATAGGCAAACTGGTCCTAGTCAAATAATCTTGCTTGTCATTTTCCTAGCTCCGTGCAGCACCTTCTGTTTCCTCTCCATCTCCCCGAGCTTCTCGTGATTCTGCTTGAGCTCTTCCTGCATCCTGGTGATATCATTCTCCAGCTCTTTGCATCGTCTTTCCCAGGCCTCCCTCGCCTTCTTGTACTCCTCCTTTTCTTTCTCCCTTTTCCTGTTTGCAGCCTCCTGCACCTGCAGCAGTTCAGCTCGCTCTCGCAGACATTCCTGGAGTCGGCTCTGACAAGTGATGGAAGGAAGCAGGCAGGAGACGGGGAAGCATCATTGCACTCTAATCTTTGTGTGCCAACAGTAAACAGCAGTATTGATTTCCCAGGATCTGTGTTTTAACAGCACTTATTCATTGTGCAAAACTGAAAACACACTCCCTCACTTCCTTATCTATTTATTCTGCTCACCTGCAGCAGTTCAGCCCTGGGTACTACCAGGAGCATATCTGTGCCTTCTTCTCCATGGGGCTCCTCCTCAAGGGTCACCACATCCTCAAGTGGCTTCGGGGCACAGAAAATGAATTTGGAGCTGCGGGAGCACACTTCCCCCTTAGAGTCGATGTATACAAATTCATATTCTTGCAAGCTGGGCTTGGGTAGATAGGAGGCTAAAAAATGGTGGAAAAAAATGACAGTTATGTTAAATTTAATTTGCAGAGAATAACAGCTGTGTTTCAAGGTCTCCCTGTTTTTGTGCATAGCTAGTGAAAGGTAGCAGCAACAGCTTGCCTAAATGAATTATCTCTAAATTTGGAAAAGCTAATCACTCTTTAAGGTCACTGTAAATCTTAACAATATAGTCTGACTTTATGTATTTTTTGAGAAAGCCTGTAACACATTTATATTATATGACTGTCTTACTGTGATATACAAAACAACTCTGCCACTTGAATGTTACTGTTTTCTGAGTTACGCTTGTTTGCTGTTATTGGAGGTTAGCTAAAAATATCAAGTTTCATTTCTGTCTGCTGAGGTAACGTTAGAATAACTGGACCAGGAAACAATTAGCATAACATTAGCATTAAATTAAGAATGTAAAAACACACCAATACTTGGCATGAAGGAAAAAGAAAAGCATATTTTCCAGTGATTTAACAGCTATCCTGGCATACTTTGTTAGATAACAACCTACAAGTATAACCACAATTAACTGCCTTTTGTTCATAGTCCAGAAACAGTTATTAATGCTATCCTTTCTGTTACTCATGGGAAGTCTTAAGTTTAGTTGAACTTATAATGCTACTAAATAACTGGTTTCTTGCCTTTTTAATTTGTATAATCATGCACGTACTTCCAGTTTGCTAACTTAACCATGTCTCCACACTTTTAATGTTGTTTGTTTTTATCCGCTCTTAACATAACATACAGGAACTGACGTGATGCCTTCTGTTTCCCACTCTAACCAGACAGCAGCTAGCCACAGTCCATGACTTCATCCAGCCCATAAAGTAAGCTAATCTAATATTATCCTTATCTCACACAGCCCATAGCTTCATGCTTAGAATGATTTACTTTGAATTTCTGTTTTATAACAGGTGTATTAAAGGGGTCAAGATGGAAAACAGGAAAAATGACATACAGCAAAGTTTATGAGCTGTACTGTAACTTAGAACAGCAGCTTAGGTCACTTCACAAGGCAACCATCTTTTTAAATCACCACATCACTGGTGATAAGGAAGCAACAGTAGTTTGTTTAAACATTCTTTCCATTGCTCTTCTTCTAATGGAGAATGACACTGAGTGTACGCTTAAGTTGGCAATAAATCACTCAGCTGGGGTCAATGCCACACCTGCTACACATGTGCCCCTCACACTGAATCAGCCTTATCAGTTGTTACTGACAGGCAGTACAGAATGAACACTGTATTTTCCAGCGAGTAGTGGTAGTAACTGCACTCTATGAGGCATTGTCTCTGTCATCCTTATTGCTCAACCTTGTGCTAACTAAAGAAATTCATTCAAACTATGACACAGCATGACTGTGTTAGACCAAGCCAAGAGAGAGATGTCTTCTTCACATATTTTCCCTTTTACATCTCTGGGAATACTCTAAGACAGAAATAACTAACAGTTGTTTTCCTTGGTGGCCAGCTCTTTGTACAACAGAGCAGTTCAGTTCAGAGATACATCAGTCTTCTTGCTGAAGGTTTTATGTGCAGATGTAAGCACTGTACTGTATGGGTTCTGGCAAACTGGAAAATAAAACACAGCTAGGAAACAAGGGCATGAGTACCCTGGAAATGCACACAGCAGTTGACATCTGTGCCCTCTTGATAGTCAGCCGGGGCCAATGCCCAAACAAATGTGTGGTAGTCTTTCACCGATGACCATCCCACCTGAGGAAGAAAACAACCCCACACTGTTATTTTGCATCTTAAAAATGTATACAAAGACACACACTTTATTTACTTAAGTGTTGTGACAGTCATCAGGTTAACAATACCTTGAAGAGCCCTATCCAGTCATTGCTGACCCAGTTGTGCTGTGAGCTGAGTGTGTAGTGGCACTCGACTCTGCTCTGAGGGAAGTAACTGCGACCCACGTTTCTGAATTCCACCTGCCAATCCTTGTCCATGGCAACACAAAACAAAGGCAGACTATTTTGCACCTAGAGAAAACAAAACCCACAATGTTCAAACTTGAGCAGATAACAGCTTTAGTTAAGTTGAAAGCAAAAACTGATGTGCATGGTTAGATGACCTAACGTGAAATAGGTGATTGCTGTATAACAGACAAGGGAGAGCCAGCAGCCTGTGAGTGTTTATTCAGTGTAAGAAGATATCCGGACTGAGCACATACTTGAGGTGAGGATACCAGAACTCCACCTTAATAAGAGCACGGCCTCTGAGCATGTTTATTACAAGAGCCATTTCAGTCATTGCCAACATTTACCACACATCATCACGTGTAAATATGTGGAACAAGGTGTCTGTGGCCTCCACATATCTGGAGCTCAAGGTCCAATGGCAAATGCTCTCCATGAATTTTAAGCAGCTCCTGCTTGCAGTTAAACTGCTTGGAGACGTGTACAACCCCAAATCAGAACAAGTTGGGACAGTATGTAAAAATTTAATTTAAACTGAAAATAGTGATTTGTAAATCATCCGTGCCCTGTGTTGTACTGAAAACAATACAGCTGCACATTTTTGATGTAGTAGATACCTCATCTACTTTATCTTTGTTCAAAATATACACACACTTAAATTCTGATGGCTGCAACACATTCCAAAAAAGTTGGGATGGTGCATTTCAGGGCTAGTAATGAGGTAAAACAGTGATTCCATTTGAAACAAGGGATGTCAACAGGTGACTGCAATCATGATTTGGTACCAAAGTGGCATCCAGGAAAAGCTGAGCCCATTAGAAGTTAAGATGGGCCGAGGGCCGCCAGTTTGCCAACATATGCATGAGAAAATTATTGAAATGTATAAAAACAACGTTCCTCAAAGATAGGAAGGGATTTGGATATGTCAGCCTCTATGGCACATAACATAATTAAAAGATTCAAGAAAACTGGAGGGATTTCAGTCCATAAAGGGCAAAGGGCACAAGCCTAAGTTGGATAACCGTGCTCTCTGGTCCCTCAGACGGCACTGCATCAAGAATCATCACTCTTCTATAAGTGATATAACCACATGGGCTCAGGATTACTTTGGAATGGAGGCTGTGTGCTCCGGACCAAAAATGAAAAGGACCGTGCAGACTGTTACCAGCATCAAGTCCCAAAGCCAGAGTCTGTCATGGTCTGGGGTTGTGTCAGCGCCCTTGGCAAAGGTAACTTACACTTCTGTGATGGCTCCATTAATGCTGAAAACAACATGGAGATTTTGGAGCAACATATGCTGCCTTCAAGATGACATCTTTTCCAGGGACACCCATGCATATTTCATTAAGAGCCTCATACTACACACATTACAAAGGCCTGGCTGCTGAGGAAAAGGGTGCAAGTGCTGGACTGGACTGGCCTGCCTGCAGTCCCGATCTAGCTAATCTTACTAATATAAAATGTGTGATGCATTTTGAAATGCAAATTGCATCAACCAGGACTGTAGTACACCTTAAGACTTGTTTTCAGGAAGAATGGGACAAAATTACACCTGACAGAGATGTCCTCAGTCCCTAAACATCTTTTAAGTGTTGTGAAAAGGAACAGCAACACCACAATGTGCTACATGCTTTACTGTCCCAACTTTGGTTGGAATGTGTTGCAGGCATCAGAACGTAAGAGTTTATTTTTAACAAATAAAGTTTAGGTGTCACATTAAATAATGTGCTGCTGTATTGTTTTCAATGTAATACAAGACACAGATGATTTAAAAAAAAAAATCACTATTTTCAGTTTTGATTCTGCCTACCATCCCAACCTTTTCTGATTTGCTGTTGTAACTTACTGGCAGCATTTATTTATTTAGCATCATGTGAGAGCAAATGACAGTATGTTTGATGTACCCTGTCATGGCAGAACTTCAAAGATTCACCCTGCAAACCAGGGCAAAAGAAGCATGATAGTGCAGCAGATTATCAGCACACAACCTGACAACACCTTAAAGTCCGCTTTGGGTTTACAGGATACATGTGCTGCGACTGTGGATTAGGTGTGATTCTGTCATACTTTATCTACCGTGGTACAGTCATAATCCAAAATAATTACAGCGCTTGAGAGTTTTCCATTTTAGTAAAGCGGCCTTCTAAAATGACGTAGGAGCGAACAAACCTTTCTAATGTAAACAACGCAGAACGTTTTATTTGTTGAAAACCAGACATCAAAGAAGAAAATACACGAGGCTTGAGGCCCAACATTAGCACATATCGAGGAAAACGGTGTGGCGTGCACGTCGATGTAAGTTGAAGACAATCATGTAATGAACTTGAACCCGTACTTGTCAATTATCAGTTTTCATTTAGTTAATGTGGGGCGCGTGCACATCAGGCGAGACAATACCAGGCTTTGTTAACAACAAAAGACATCTACGCAAATGATGTCGACCGTCTCTGATGTCTCCTTACCTTTTATCGCACCCACTATTCTGAAAACAGTCTAAACGAGCCGCCTCTATATCAGATACCAGTTTCACAGCCCCCCCCACAATCCAAAAAAAATGAACAACACAGCGGACTGTCTTCCTCCTCGGGCTCAGTGGCTCCACGAACCCGAATAATTACAAAAAGCCACAGCAAAACATAAGCACGACAGCTTCTCTTCCACTGCGGAATTTTGGGAACTGGTGTTCAAGATGGCAATCAAAGAATGTGCAAATGTCTAAAATTAAACTACAATCCCCAAGCTACAGGCAGAATAGCAGAGGTCGCTCTTGGACGTGATGTGACGCATCTCATCGACCGCCGTTGTTTTTCTCTTCGCAAGTCACAGCAACTGGTTGACATATCGATCTGTTGTTCGCGATGGGGAAAACAACGAGTAGTGGGTGCATCGATCACCGCTCCGACGCTCAAGCGGCTAGTCACGTGACCGACGAAGTCTGCCCGTGCAGAGACGAGTTGGCCCACAAAAGTGGTCAGCTACTTTAGTCTTGACCCAAGGAAAAAAAAAACTTTAGTCTTGACCTGCTAGATGGGTTTCTTGATCTTCTTAAAAACATACACACAAATAGAAGTTTCCCATTAATTAGCTTAAGCCACAGTGTACTTTGTCTACGACGCATTTTCCAGCCTTAGTTGGTGTGAGTTCATATAAACATGAGCAGTAACTTTTTATAGGTTAATAATCAGTTTAAACAGTTGAATAAGCTAACAAATAATGTAATTGTAATTTTTGCCATACTGTAGGAGAGAGCAGTTTGACCCTTGTTCAGGTGTTGCAGTGATTTCTTTATTATTTGCATACATTCCTCTCACTGGCAACAAAGAATATCAAGCAGATGTTTGCATTGTGATTGCTTTGTTGTCGTCAGCATATAATCAGTGTTAGGGAAGTTCTCTGGGTTCCCCTCGTTCCTGACGGGAAGAAAACAGGCAGTTAGATTTAACCATTTCTGCTGGAGCCTTTATACAGTGATAACTGTAGAAGCATAAACCTGTACATAACCTTTATTAAGTATTCAAATGATACACCTATTGTGGATTTTACAAATTCTAAAGAGCAGCTCCAAACTGAGATAGACAGATTCTCTGAGTGGTGCAGGCTAAACTGCATGGATCTCAGCTTATCAAAAACAAAAACACTGCTCATTGACTTTCGCCATGGACAATGTCATCCTCACAATTAGTGGCCAGTCCACTGAGAGGGTTGAGGTGTATGCCTCAGCACCATGATTGACAATAAACTCACATTCAAAACTAACAATGAAATGATCTTTTCCAAGTGCCAGCAACGTCTCTTCTTCTTGAAGAAACTTTGTAAAATGTAGGGCCATCCGTCAGTACTACTCACTTTCTACAGGTGCGTCATTGATTCAATTCTTACTTTCAACATAATCGCCTGGTTTGGTGCTATGAGCAACTTACACCTCAGCCCTCTCAACAAAATCGTCAAACTGAGCAATAAAATCATTGGACTGGATCTGGAGCCTGTGAGCAGCATCTATAACAGAAGGACTAAAAACAAGGGACTACAAATAGCCTCAGACTCCACACACATACTACACAATCAATATACAGGCTTACAGTCAGGACGCAGATAAAGACATCTCTACTTTAGGACAAAGCGTGTCATGTCTAGCTTTGTGCCGTCCTCCATGAGACTCTGTAATACACAGTCAGCTTCCCTATGCATTAATTATATATATTTATTTATGTAAACATCTTTTAGTTGCATTTGTATGTTGTCCACTGTCTGTTTTATGTAGCTTTATGTTTGTTTGCATTGCTGTCTTTACACAAATGAATTTTCTAACAGATAAATGAAGTTCTTTGACTATGAATTGAATTTGAAGCAGCATAGCTTTGCAAGCTGCCAATTACTTCACACAGGACCACGCTGGTGCTTCTTTCTTCCATAGCTCCTCTTGTACGAGCCCTCACCAGCTCGCCTAGTCTCAGTGTACACGGTGCCAGGGAAAACAGTGTAGGAATGGACGAGCCCCTGGCTGGCCCTGGTGGTGTAAATGGTCCTCCGGCTGGCCGTTCCAGTGTTGCGGTTGCACACAGCCCTTCCCTACTGGCAGTGTGGAGAGCCACAGCATCCAGGCAAAGCATAGCCCTGGGCACATCCATTACGGTCCCCTGCTCTGCCAGCAAGTCAAAGCCAATGATGCATGGATCTTGAACAATGGCCAGTCTGAACTGATGCTCAACGGTGCGGCCTGCAGCAGTCACTTTGAGCATCCTCTCTCCACACATCTTTGCACTCTTGCCAGTGACTGCGGTAATGTGGCTCTTGATGGCCCTCCACTTCCTGGGTCTTGGCCCTTCCTTTCCCAGCAATGTTCCTGGGGAGATGGTGGACCCCATTTTCACTAAGGCATGGCATTTCGTGCCATTCAACTTAAAGTCAAGGTATAATTCATGTATCTGGCACAGAAGGCCGACCCACAGCTGTATATGAGTTGTTTGGGGGTGCTAGTTATCCAGGCGCCGGAGCTGGGCAATGGCTTGCCTAAAATAAAAACAATAAAAAAAAGTCACATGCCTGCAAAACAAAAATATTCATGCCCAAACTGAAAAGCCTCTCACATACAACATAGTAATATAAATATAAAAAATCATTCCATTCTTTTTATGGCCCAAAATTATTAGTAGTTTCAGATGTTAAGTATGCAAAACAAACAAAAAACGAAAAAAATCAAAACAGTAATTTAACTACTCAATCACTATGCAAATATGAATGTAGTTGAACTACCAGGAAGCTACTGCAAAATGTACTAATAGTTTAATTACATGTAGTTCACTGCTTTCCAACATTGGTTATGTTTGTGTATTCTTTTCCATGCAGGTTGATGTATGCTAGGAGAGGTCTTTGATGTAAGTGTATGTTCCAAATTTGATCTAGATTTGGGTTTTATTTGGAAATGTTTTTTAAAATAACCCTGTAATCCTTCTTTTAGGAGCATGCCACAGTTTGGAGAACTGGTGTAAGGAATGCCTCACATGTCATGCTGGGCCTTGTGTTGTGTGTTACAAAGGACACTGTCTTTCATGTTCTTGTGGCACCAGACAGCAGGTGGCAGTATACCATCTTGAAAACCCAGTGCTTTACATTGAGATTTGTCACATACAACCATATCCTGGGAACCTCTAAAGCACAGTGCATGCTCTTTAGCCTCTTGAGACTGTCCCATGGCTTCATGAAGCCATGTAAATCTTTTTACCTAATGTAGAGGAGACATTAGGTAAAAAGAATATACATGAGACCCCAAATAAAAAACGATTAAGACCAAATCTCAACTATGCAATAATTTAACCTTTTGCAGTTAAGATTTTGCAGCTATTACTACAGAATAGCAGATTATATGACTAGCCAAATAGGTAGATGATTGTACCAAAGAATGAGGAAAACAACACTACAAAGTCATTGAATGACAGTGTATTGGAGTAATTTGTTAAATTGTTTTATCCTTTAAATTAAGAGTTTTTACATAAACAATCCTTCAGTTATAGGTTTTGTAAATAAATGTTGCCTCAATCTGAAGCTATTTAAATTAGGATTAAAACTAATTTAAAAAAGCAAATCCTATAGAACTTAGTCATCTTGAATGATTATAGTTATTGATGTTGTCATACTGCCTGTAGCCTTTTTGATCAGTGAGTCCAGTCACACCGTACTTTATACCCCCCAGTTATTTGGTCCAGTTTGGCTAATTTAGTTTGTTGAAGATATGATAAGGACGATTCTTGCAATTCTATGCCAACTGAGTACCTATAAACTGTGTTTAAGTGGATTACTCATGTACTGAGCCTGTCTGAGCAAAGTGGAGCTGGAGCTATGCAGTAGGCTAATTAAATAGGTTCTACTGCAGTGACTAGTCAGTAACCACTGTTAGCATTTGTGTTTTAGGCCAAGATACTTATATTTTAAACTCTTAATTAGATTTTGCTGCAGCTCTAGCTTCAAGATTCAAAATGGGTGACTTGTTTATACTATTTTTATTATAAGTTCAGTTAACTGGTTTGACATATACTTGGACTCTTCCTGTACGTAGTTTAATAATTGTAATTGTGATAATTGTGAATATTTTTGTGATGTTGTTATTTCTGAAAGTGTTATGGCAGTCCTCAGGTAGCCTTGACTTTGAAGCGTTCCTGTGGTGTGAAGTTGAAAGTTGGCTGTGCAGTAGGAATGTGAGGCTTCACCCTAATACAGATTAGAGTGAAAGTGGATTGTCCGTGAAACTGCTTGATCTTGACCTGAGTGCCTGTTCTTATGGCCTTATGTATTTGACATTACTCCCAACTCCCACCCCAGCACATAGATGTGAGGCACACACACACACACCCACACCATCTGACTTTAAACCTTTTTTTATTGGGAATGAAAAATGGACAAATATCAACACTTTCAAGCATTAGAGGAAAAATAACGCGCTCAACTATTCTGGCACAAAAGTCTAGGCAAACTGTTTATTTATTGGTTGTAGAACTATTTCACACAAATTTAATCCCTGTCATTTGCTGATTTCTGGCTTGGAATTTCTCTCAATATAAGAAAATGGTATAGCCCCTGAGTGCTCGTGCAGTTTTATTACCTAAGGTGGTCTGTTTGAATATAACTTACCACATGTCTCATTCAAAGGGAATGGCAGGTATGTGTCACTAGTCATAAATTGCAACTTGCCTTCAGCAGTAATCAGTTGCCAAGGAAACGACAAATGGGATGATCACCTTCTGTTGTGTATTGGCAGGGAAACTGTTAGAGTTGTCAGCATTCAAGAGATAAACATTAAAGATTTATGTCAGTATACAATTTATTTTCTCATCTTACTAGATGAATGTGTTATGTTTCTAATGTGACTAAAGCTCTTAGAAGAATAAATAAAGGCCTTTTTTCTATCAGTATTATTCAAAGCAAGATGAGCATGTTTGAGTTAAATAATGTTCATCACTGTAGGCTGAGTGATGGAGTCAGCGATTATATACCCTGTACTGTAATGAAGGAGAGGGTAGAAAACAAAGAAATAGGGAGAGGGAGCAGAGTGCCTGGAAGGAAGGCAGAGTGTTGGGAGGGCGGAGATAGAGAAATGGGGGACTATGGTATTTAGTATGCACGGCCAAGCTGCCCCATCTGCTTAGTGCAGCAGTCCCTGTCGTATAACTGTCTACGGGCTGTGGGCCACATAAAGAATGTCTCAGATTTGATG